CACAGGTATGGGAGCAGTATTGATGCAGCGAGGCCATGTGGTAGCTTATGCCTCGAGACAGTTGAAGCCTCACGAGGCTAATTATCCTACCCACGATTTGGAGCTGGGGGCAGTTGTGTTTGCCCTCAAGATTTGGAGACATTACCTTTATGGGGTCCGCTGTACTATATACACGGATCACAAGAGTTTGCGATATCTTATGGATCAGCCGAGTTTGAACATGAGGCAGAGGAGATGGTTGGACGTGCTGAAGGACTATGACTGTGAGATCCTTTATCATCCAGGGAAGGCCAATGTGGTGGCCGACGCCCTGAGCCGCAAGGTGTCGACGGCCCCTATCAGAGATCTGTGTATGAGGATGACAGTGATCACTCCGTTGTTGGAGCGGATCAAGGAGGCTCAGATGGAGGGCCTCAAGGAGGAGAGGCAGAAGTGTGAGAGGATAGTGGGCCGAGTAGCTTCATTTGATTACGACAGTCGGGGTTTGTTGACGCTTCATGGTAGGGTGTGGGTACCGTACTGGGGTGGGGTACGGCAAGTATTGATGGACGAGGCTCATAAGTCTCGATTTTCTATCCACCCAGGAGCGACGAAGATGTATCGAGATCTTCGACCTGATTATTGGTGGCCCTGCATGAAGCGGGACGTCGCTTGGTATGTTGAGAGATGTTTGACCTGCCGGAAGGTCAAGGCGGAGCACCAGAGACCTCACGGCAAGATGCAGCCGTTAGACATTCCCGTGTGGAAATGGGAGGATATCACCATGGATTTTGTCACCAAACTCCCCAGGACCGCACGTGGAGTGGACTCGATATGGGTAGTAGTGGATCGGTTGACGAAGAGTGCTCATTTTATTCCGATTCAGGAGAGTATATCGGCGGAAAAGTTAGCCGATATCTATGTGCGGGAGATTGTGGCACGTCATGGAGTGCCGGTATCGGTGGTGTCGGACCGAGATGTTCGTTTCACGTCCAGATTCTGGAAGCGGTTCCACGACGAGATGGGTACTCGTCTCCATTTCAGCACCGCTTTCCACCCTCAGACTGACGGGCAGAGCGAGAGGACGATTCAGACTCTTGAGGACATGCTTAGGGCATGTGTTCTAGATTTTGGGGGCAGTTGGGATACGTATCTTCCGTTAGCGGAATTCTCGTATAACAACAGTTATCATGCGAGCATTGATCGACCTCCTTTTGAGATGTTATATGGCAGGAAGTGCAGGACCCCGATTTGTTGGGGCGAGGTCGGTCAGCGAGTCATAGGGAGCACCGAAGTGGTGCTCAAGACGACTGAGTTGATCCAGCAGGTCCGTAGTAGGCTGCAGACTGCGCAGAGTCGGCAGAAGAGCTACGCCGACAGGAGGCGTTCGGACTTGGAGTTCCAGGTGGGAGATATGGTTCTTCTGAAAGTCTCACCTTGGAAAGGTGTCATCAGGTTCCGGAAGAGGGGCAAATTGGGCCCCAGATTTATTGGTCCTTTCAGGGTTTTGGCCCGGGTGGGTCGGGTTGCTTATCGATTGGATCTTCCCGAGGAGCTTAGTCAGATACACAACACCTTCCACGTGTCGCAGTTAAGGAAGTGTTTGGTGGATGAGACAGTCGTTCCCTAGAGGACATTCAGGTTGATAGCGGCCTGAATTATATTGAGAGGCCGGTCGCGATTCTGGAACGGAAGATCAAGACCTTGAGGAACAAGGTAATTCAGCTAGTGAAGGTGCAGTGGCAGCACCGGAAGGGGTCTGAATGGACGTGGGAGGCTGAGGAGGAGATGAGAGCGCACTACCCGGAGATTTTTGCAGATCCAGCCGTAGCAGACTTCGAGGACGAAGTCTGAGACAAGTGGGGGAGAATTGTAACGACCCGTTCCCGGTATGTTAATTCATTGGTAATTGTTGTAAGTTTTGCAAGAGGGACTCGGCGAGTTCATAGCCTGACTCGCCGAGTAGGGTCGCGACTTCGAGCACGCGTGAGCCGGGGACTCGGCGAGTCCATATCCCTGACTCGGCGAGTCCATCCGTCTGGGTGAAACCCTAAATCCCCGGGTTGCCCACTATTTAAGTCACCTTATAGCCCCATTCTCGCCTCCCTCACCCTGAGAACACTGTGAGAAAGAACCCTAATCCACCTTGAGAGCTTATAAGTGTTTTTGTGCCATTTTGTGAAGGTGTGAAGAAGGAGAAGAAGAAAGGAGCAAGGAGAAGAGTTGTAGTGCAAAGATCCAAGGGCAAATCTGAGTTATTTGAGGTATTTTCGGATTTCCCCTCTTGTTATATGCTTTAAACCTCCATTAGAGCTCTTCTAAGATCTAGTTGATGCTTGTTCCAAGCCTTATGTTTGCATGAATGCCTTAATAAGTCGAGATATCTTTAGATCTGAATGATTGGGTGTTGTAGAGCCCAGATCTACTGCCTTTTTGGAGTTACTTTGCATATTAACCATAGATCTACCCATTTTGTGCATCTTTTAGCCTTATTTCCCTTATTCATGAGGTTGTACACGTAAAGTTGGAAACTTTACGTGGTAAATCAGCTTATTGGACTCAGATCTATCAATTGTATGTGTTGGATTCAAACAAAATCGAGTAAAAATCAGTTGCATGGCGGCAACTCGGCGAGTCGGGAAGAACGACTCGGCGAGTTGGGTCGCGAGTTCCCGATTCCTTCATTTTTATCAGTGTCGAGTGGATCCAGTGAGTTAGAGAGTGGACTCAGCGAGTTGAGGGTAGACTCAGTGATGGAGGGACTCGGCGAGTTGTTCATACAACTCGGCGAGTCCAAGGCAATCTTCTTAAGATCAAGAACAACTCGTCGAGTTTGTTCATCCGGCTCGGCGAGTCGGATGAAGATTGTCTGAGTTCTTGGATCAAGAGGGTACTCGTCGAGTCGATGCCACACTCGACGAGTAGCAGCGAGTAGAACTGAGAAGTGAGAGTAGGACTCGGCGAGTTGGGCGCCCAACTCGGCGAGTCAGCCCAAAGAGAGTTGACTTTGACCAAGGGTAAAAGAGTCATTTTACCCCAAGCGCAGTGTTTAGTATTTGATTGAGTGTGTTTATGGACTTGTAGCCGAGGAGATTCAGGAGCAGCAGCCGTTAGCTTCCCGAGCCACACACTCAGCAGCCAGCTTACGAGGTGAGTTTCCTTCCAGTAGGAACGGGTCTAAGGCCACAATGCCGGCCCGTTCAGTTAGCAGTAGTTTCCGGATTTAGGTCCGATGCAGTAGCTAGTATGTTTGATGCCTTCGTGGCTCGAACAGGATTTGTGTGCTATGTTTTATGCGTTAAGTGTTATGTGTTCCGGGCTACGGCCCGATGTAGTATGCCGTATATGTGTTCATGCTAGTTGATGTGTTATGCTATGCCATGTTCAGTCAGTCAGTTCCGGACTTCGGTCCGATGCAGGGGACAAGGTCCCAGTCGGTTCCGGACTTCGGTCCGATGCAGTTAGTTCCGGACTTTGGTCCGATGCAGTTAGTTCCGGACTTCGGTCCGATGCAGGGGACAAGGTCCCAGTCAGTTCCGGACTTCGGTCCGATGCAGTTAGTTCCGGACTTCGGTCCGATGCAGGGGACAAGGTCCCAGTCAGTTCCGGACTTCGGTCCGATGCAGTTTCCGGGCTTCGGCCCGATGTAGTGGGCGAGGCCCAATATGTGTTTATATGTTATTGTATGGTATGTGGTAGTTTGGGGGAGCTCACTAAGCTTCGTGCTTACAGTTTCAGTTTTGGTTTCAGGTACTTCCGCAAGCAAAGGGAAGAGCTCGGGGTGATAGCATCGCACACACCACAGCTTAGCTTTTATCCTGGGAATGGTTTTAGTTGTTTTGGATTTGAAATAGTATGATACAGTTTTCCGCACAGTATTTTATTATGATTTGGGATACATCGCGTATGTTTTTTTTATGTTATGATACTCATATTATGGTTTTGATTATCTTGAAAAACGAAATTTTTGGGTCGTATTTTTGGGTTGTTTCAAATCTTTTGTCGAAAAGTCATTTTCGACCCCTATTGCCTCTAAATTGACTAGCACGGATCTACGAGCGTTACATTCGTATTCCATCACCGAAATCGGTCAATAGCTGCAGTCGTACACCAACATCATATCCTTGGTATGTTCTTGAACTCAATTTCTAACTTTTAAACCTAATTTTAAAATTAGAAATTGGTACTATCGGGAGTCAGATTGGACCAAAGAAGGTAATATGTTAAGGTAAGATCTTCAGTGACTACTTCTTGGTCTTGTTATGTATAAGTGTCCTAAATCCCAATAAAACAAGCTCATTAATTTTCTCAGTCGCCCTTTTAAACTCAGATCAGGTGTGTAGGAAGGGATTCAGTGTCTGATAATGAGTTTGTAGAAAAGTTCATTCAGGAGGTAGTAGGTATTTGTTAGTTTGATTTTTGAAAATTTCGACACTTATGATTTATGAATATGATCTGTTAATGACATTTGCATTTATGTTATTTAGACAACCCGATTCAGCTCTCAACAAGCTCATCTAAATAAGTATGTACTTGTCTACTGCACACATGGACATAATCGGACAAGTTATATGATTATGCATTTTCTTATTCGATCAGAATCAGTTTCCCTCACAGAGGTAAATGATATGAATTTGATTAGTCAATGAGAGTTCTTAAATCTTAAATTGTCTTCTTTATATATGTTTAACAAATCATGTAGGCAATATATAGATTTTCTGAAGAACGTCCTCTAGGGATTTACAAATAAGATTACATCAATGATCTATACAATCTTTTTGGTGAACACATTCCTAAAAAAATTGTTTGCCCCCAAACCCCTGAATGGAAGAGGTCACCTAATCGGGATGATGATGCTGATGATGGAAATACCGGTTTGTAGGTTAGATGATTGGGACCTTTATAATGGAAATTTTCATTCTTACACTTGATCTTCTAATTATAAGAGTTTGCGGGAAAATAATGTGCAAGCAAGTGTTTTGTGGGCAGGTGATGTGGAAAATTTTGTGGGGGCAGGTGAGATGGGATATGATATGGCACCAAGTAAGATGACAAATGATGATGTATTAGGAGATCCCGTGCCATTTAATCAGATAGAGTCAATGAGGCAGTTTTGCAATCAAGTTCTAAAGTTGAATATATGGGTAAGTAAGTATGTTGGTTAGTTTGTAGTAATACAGAATCAAAGGAGTGTGTTTGAAATACAAAGTTTTCTTTTTCAAGATCTTTGAATGTGAATCAAGTGAGACTCTATATATAATATGCATCATATTGGGAAGATTCTGTTAGAATATGTTAAGCTAAACTACATACTATTTTGTTGGAATTACAATAACATGTTTATACTTGTGTCGAAATATTCTGTTAGAAGTAAAGTATATAATATTTTGTTAGAATTTTTAAGGAATTGAAGTTTAAGCAACAAATGGAAATGAAATATTCTGTTATAATTGAAGTTAATATGTGTAGTTATGTTATTTTGGTGTAGTCAAACCTATAAATTCTTTCAGAATGAGAAAACACAATATTCTTTTAGAATAAGGTTAGTAACACTTATCGATTTGATGCCTATTATTCATAAAAGATTCGTTAAAGAATGTTATTTAAGTGTATTCTGTAATATATTTTGTTATAATTTATTTATATAAATGGATTCTGTTAAAATATCTTTGAGAATGTTTGTTAACATCAAATATATTTGTTTAACGGGTAATACTAACGAGTAAATCATCGTCGTAGTGGAGGGAATTTACAACATGGAAGGAGAACTTATTTTCAAATCCCTGAAATAGTCTCTATATGCAAAAAAAAATACAAGATCATTCATTGATTTAATTATTATTATTATAACTATCTACTATTATTTATTTAATGATGTTATTTGATATAGGCATATGTTTATTTAGATGAGGCACACAATATAGGAGCAGTAAGCAAAACAGGAAAAGGTGTGTGTGAGCTTTTAGGTGTAGACACTGCTGATGTGGACATCATGATGGGAACTTTCACAAAATCATTTGGATCATGTGGTGGTTATATAGCTGGATCAAAGGAACTTTTTAAATATTTGAAGTACACATGTCTTGTAGACCTGACAATCCGTGTCTGCGTGTCATGTATTCGTGTCAGACACGAATTTACACGATACGAATTTGTTAAACACGAACACGACACAAATTATAAAACGCGTCTGGGGTATCAAACATGAACACGATACGTAAAAAATTCGTGTGACACGTGACACGGCACGAATAGACACGTTTTTAAACCGTGTTACACAAAAACACGAATAAACACGTTTTTAATCTTTTTTAACCTAGTGCTATAAACTAATTATTGACTCTTAAGAAATTGGTCCCTAATATTTTATAAATATAAAATTTAACCATAAAGTATATATGTGTATATACGTGTCAGGTGTCAACACGAATTTGTATCGTGTCTTATACGTGTTTAAATAGGTAAATTCATGTTTGATACGTGTAAGACACGAAACACGAATTTAAAATACGATATGCAATATGTGTTTGAGTTTACACAAAATCGATTTTCTGAAACAGATTTCTCAAGTACCGATATGCGACGTCGATTCCTCTTTACTTCGTCTTCCTCCCTTGTTGGCCAGATATGCTTGTTCATCGTCTATTCACTCCTGACGAGCTTTGTCTTCTCATGCCTGCTCGACCTTCCACCACAATGTTTTTTGTGGTGTCGTTCCAGATCAGCTCGAGCTTCCACGGTCTCCCCTTCCGGTAACGTTCCAGATGTGTATACGATTGAGCATCTATTCTTTTGTTGAATTTAGTTTTGATTCGTGGTTTGGTTTAGTGTATATATTGATTCCTGATTTATTTTGATTCGTGGTTTGGTTTAGTGTATAATTGATGGTGGTATTTGATTTTGGTTTAATTTCTTTTGATTTGGTGTGAATTGTGGTGGTTGCCGAAGATGAACCATGGTTGAACGAAGGTGTTGCCGGAATGAGTGAATAAGGGTTGTCGGAGGTGGACGGTGGAGGTGTGCCGTGGATGGGATAGGAAGAAGGGGGTATAGAGTAGGTGGGCCCACTTGTTTATAAATTACGTATAATTTATTTATTTTACTTAATTAGTAAAAAACTGAAAAAGAAAATACAAAGGGTAAAATAGTATTTTTATCTTTACAAGAGACGAAAAACGCTACAATATGATATGTTAGGGATGAAAAACGCAAGAATATGATATGTTAGAGACGATCCGAGTGCAAAAAAAACGTTAGGACCTAACGTGCAATTTTACCCAAACCGTATGGATGATTTCAGTAATTTCTTCTAATTTTTATATATGTGTTTTGATACTTATTAATTTATTGCGAGTTGTTATTTTGAGGTTTCTCAAATGGAACACTAACACGTTTATTTTTGTGTGAATCTATTCAAAACCACCACTAAATAAAATTGATTTTGAGATGACGTTCACTGCATTAAAAAACTTCAAAAAGGAAAAAAAAAAAAACTTTTATCGATTTCATAATATTGTGAACAATTTTGCAATGCTCTAAAATTTCTTATGATTCATTTTAAAGTTTTTATTTATTTATTTATTTTTTATTTTTTCTGGTCGAACTACTAAAAAAATCACTAATAAAAAACAAGTTTACATTAACATCCTCCAATGGACATTTATAAAAGAAAAATTAAATTATTCCTATCTTTTATGCCTACAAATATTCCTCACCAATAAAATTATGATAAGTATCATCATTCCATATTTTTTTAACTAACCCGTTAAGATTATATTAGGAATATATTAAATATAATAAATTGAATAATGATTTGTTATAATTTTAATGGGTAGGAATAATTGTAGCCTGTAGGCATAAAATGTAGGAGATAATTTAACTTCTCATTACAAAAAAGCGAAAAAAATAACATTTTATTAAAATCTTTCCCATTTTGGTCAATTTTATGATTTTCTCTTTATTTGGAGGTTTCTAAATATAAAATTTCCAGGTTATCGAACACAAGCGTCAAAGATTGACGGTTAGCGGGTCGCCTGGGAGCGTAAATTGGGTTGCAGAAACCCGAACCCGGATTCAACGAGGCGAGTGTTTTAGGAACCAACAGCCAACTGCAATCATAAGAGGAAGATATATATTTTCCTCTTTCCTCTAAATCTTGGAAGATCAGAAGCTCCGTTCGTGATCTCACAACTTCAATAACAATGGCGACAAGGTACTGGATAGTTTCTCTTCCCGTTCACAGCTCCGCCACTTCTCTATGGAGTCGCTTACAAGAATCCATCTCCAAAAATTCCTTCGACACTCTTCTCTACAGGGTATAACGACCTTCATAATCGCATCGCACGAAAAGATCTGTTCTGTTATCTTACATAGCTGAAACTAATCGGGATAATTTTGCAGTTCAATATCCCAAATCTTCGCGTTGGTACACTCGATTCGCTGTTAGCCCTCAGCGATGATCTACTCAAGGTCAATAATTGTTTTTAATATTAATTAGGGGATTGGTTGATTTGATTTGATGTGATGTATATGCGATTGTGCAGTCGAATACGTTTATCGAAGGATGTTCTCATAAGATACGGCGTCAGATTGAAGATTTGGAGAAGGCTTCGGGAATTCTCGCTAGCTCCTTGACTGTCGATGGGGTTCCGGTGGATTCATATCTCACCAAGTAATTTCTTGTACGTGTTTTTTGAATTTGATGAAAGAATGTTCTTGATCTGTTTGAATTTGTGATTGTAGATTTGTGTGGGATGAGGCTAAGTATCCAACAATGTCTCCTCTTAAGGAGATTGTGGATGGTATTCATGTGCAAGTAGCCAAGATAGACGATGACCTTAAGGTAATTGGTTGCCCTGTATCTTGTAATTTTCATTTTTGTAGGTAAAGCCTTTATTGTTGCTTCCTGTTTTGCACTTTTTCAGGTTCGTATTGCTGAGTATAACAATGTTCGCAGTCAACTGAATGCAATCAACAGAAAGCAGACTGGAAGGTAAAAGTAATGCCTTTTAACACCAAGGACTCATAAGTGGTCAATAACAGTTGAGTATAAAAATGCATATTGTTCTACTTCTATATCATGACCGATTTCATTTTCCAGCTTAGCTGTTCGTGATCTGTCCAATTTGGTAAAACCAGAGGACATAGTTACTTCAGAACATTTGGTTACTCTCATTGCTGTTGTCTCCAAGTTTTCCCAGAAGGATTGGTTGTCATGCTATGAAACATTAACAACTTATGTGGTAAGATCATCATCAATCTTTAATGTCACTCTGATCTTAATACTGCTTATCAGTTTCTTGATTTTGTCATTTTGACTGAATTAAATGTTCTAGGTCCCTAGATCCTCCAAGAATCTACATGAGGATAATGAGTATGCTCTCTATACTGTGACATTATTCAATCGCGATGCTGACAATTTCAAAATTAAGGCACGCGAAAGAGGATTTCAAGTGAGTTTGTAAATTAGTTTGTTTGCTTTGCATTGAAGTGACACTGATTCAAGGATCTGATATGCACTGTGGAGTTCTTGAATAAGATATTGCTGCATAATATTTGATAAGTTTGAGTAATGGTTTTCTTTATGATTCACATTGTGATTTAGATTCGTGATTTTGAATATAATTCGGAAACTCAAGAGAGTCGGAAACAGGAGCTTGAAAAACTGATGCAAGATCAGGAATCCCTGAGAAGCTCTCTTTTGCAATGGTGTTATACCAGTTATGGAGAGGTACATCTACTTCCATTTCCCTTCAAATTACAACATGAAATTATTAATTTTAGATTACACACAACTAATAATAGTCTTGGGTTACAATATAGTGATGTACAATCCAAAAAATCCCAAGTATAATAATAGTTAACAATGGAGAGATGTCCCAACAACCAATATATAATCTTCACATCTAACAAATCAAATCTATATAGTACCTATGTATTATACCAAAAGCTTCAATCTTTAATATATCATATGTGAGTAATGAAAAATTACTCTCAAATATTGTGCCACCTCTTGATGGCTATAACTAGGGATAGAACATGAGCACCAGGATTAGGGGCCCGAAACAAAAATTAAAAAAAAAACATATATGGTTGAAAATTATGACATAAGAAATCTAAAGTAGATAATTAATATAAACATTCTTACATTGTTCATAAAAAAGAAACTCATCAATCTTTTGTGTATTTGAAGTTTTGCACAATTGTCTCTAAACTATTTTTTGGCAAGTTTTCTGGTGAAGTTTAAAACCGATGAATCATTATATTAACAATAGTTTAGTTATCATCATTTCTTACTTTTTATTTTTTTATTTTTTTGCAAATTTCTAATGTTCTTAGACTTTTAGTGCTAACCACGTCTTGCAAGTTTGAAACCTAATATGTTTTCCAATCTATAAATGTAATTAAAAATATAAACTTTACTAATACAATAACTATTAGAAAAATCACTTTTGTTAATTAAATATATTTTAATAAAACTTTTTAGTAGTTAAGTTTTTCCATTCATGCATAGATAGAGTGACAAACAAAATTTGTTTATAAATTATGAGATTTTGGTAAGTTATAAGGAAATAATCTTGGTTCTTAATTAGGTTTGTTTATGATTAGATTATTTGTTTGTGTTTATATTTGGGTGAAGCCTCGATGGAAATAATAATAGTTATTAATAAGCATGAATTATGTGTAGATTTATCATATAAAATGTAGTTGAGTTTAAGAAATAAGAACATTTTTATGCCAAAAATATATCACAAACTGTAAAGGAAGTAATATTTGTATGAAGCTCTATAAGAATAAAAATGTAGCGCTAGTTGCAACTTTAAATAAAATATAGTTAAAAAACTATTAACTTTTCTCTTCAATTAACTATAGAGTAAGTAACAACCTGAAAAAGCAAGTGGGGCCTCCCCTGGCTATATTATTAGACATTCTTGTAATTACCTTAGACTAAAGGGTGCTCAACTAGATATATTTTACTCGTTGACATAACAGCCATTCAAACTTTCACTAGAATATATTTTCTCATGAGTATAGTATTCCAGCCCATAGTCACATAGTTCCGATACGGTGTATCGTGTATTTCGGTACGGTGTACCCATGGTTAATACAAAAGTTCCAACCATATTTTACTTCAAAACACATTAACATGAAAACAAATAAAATAATTTTAATATTTCCCAGCAAAAATTACGTTAAAAAACAGTTAAGTAATAATAAACTAACACTTCAATACATCAAAACAGTTTTCCAGCAACACATCAAAACAGATTCTAAGTTTCCAACACTAAAAAACAAAAAACAGAATTCCCCAAAAAACAATTTAACAGAAAAGTTTTCTTCAATCCACGCGTTGTCTTTTTCCTTGCCCATTCTCCATGCCTTCATCTAAATTCTCCCAAAACATTTCTTCTAATCGTGAACTTGAGCCTTCAATGTAACTGTTTTCAGGATTAATGTCCCACTTTTTGTATGGGCCCGCTCTATATGAATCTGAGAAACGAGATAGGAGTCGAATATTGGAGTGAATGAAAACCAATTTGTCGGCTCTTTTGCAATTTAACCTATTTCTTTTCACATTGTGAACGTAAGAATAGGTACTTCAATTTCTTTCGGCCAAAGAGCTACTAATCGGTTGGGAAAGTACCTTCTTTGCTATCACGGCTAATTCCGGGGTTTCGGCTCCATATGCTGACCACCAATCTATTGCATCCATTGTCACGACATCCGTTTGTGTTGCCGCCATGGAATAAATTCCTTTTTTCATATGGAATGTTGCGAATTGTTCTCGTAACACTCATTCCTCCTCTTCATTTTCAGACATTCTATGGAATGCTTTCATGACACCAATCACAACCTCTTTATCTAGATTTGGAGCTTTCCTTGGAATACCCCCCGGTGCTAACTTTTGAAGATATTGTATATCATAAAATCTTGGAGTTAATGCAAACCCCAAACAATGTAATGGGATTGTCATTTTCTCCCATCTAGCTAACACTATCTTTTCAACTTCCGAGTAATAGCTTGAATACGTATTTTTTTGCATAATGTCTTTAATCTCCCCCAACATGTTATCCATTTTTTCATAAATCTCACCCATTTTAGGACCTTCCCCATCACAAAACTTGATGAGTAGGAAAATGGGTTTTGTAATGGCTAAAACATTGTCTACATCTTCCCAAAACAAATCATCTTTGATTGTATCCACAACTTTTAAACCAAGAACTTTTGTGTTTTCCTCTCCATTTTTAAGCCACTCCCTCCAAGAATTAAGGACTATAGTTGTGGCAAGAGCCTCTCTACAATCCTTAATTCTTTTTAACAAAATATAGTGAGATGCAAACCTTCTTTTTAACAACTCTAATGTGGAATTTTCTCGAAAAATTGACAAGACTTGAGTGTGGTTTAGAAGGTACTCAACAATTGTTTTTCCTCTCTTATAGGTATTATTTAACCAAAAAATTCATTTGATAAATCTTTGAAAATCAAATTTAGAGTATGTACGCAACAAGGTGACCAAAATACATGTTTGTATACCTTTCGACTTCTCTTCCGGCAGCTTTGCAATTAGCCGCGTTATCCGTGACCACTTGCAAAACGTTGCTCGGTCCAACCTCATCGATAGCTCCAAGAAGATACTTAGAGATTTCCACTCCTGTTTTTTCGACCTTTTTCGACCCCTGAGAAATCTTCCGCGTACATAAACATAGCACCACGGGCGTTCACTGCAAGAACATTGATGAGTGGCTTATGTTTGACATTAGACCACCCATCGGAAACAATAGAAACCCCTTGCGTGTACCAAGTATCTTTGACTTGGGTTAGGTCTTTCTCAACATCTCTCATGTACTCATCTAACAATACGGTTCTTGCTTTTTCACTAGACGGAGGTTTATATCTCTCCGGTGCCTTCTTGAGTGCATTGAGTATTTTAATAAATTGTGGATTCCGCAAGACGTTAAATGGGATACCATTAGCACACAATCCTCTAATTATTTTCATGTCAACCACATTTCGCTCCATAAGACCAAAAGATTCTTCAATTCCTTTTCTTGATGTTGCTTTTTTCAAAAGTATAGAATTCTTTAAAGATTTTGAAACACCTCTGCTCTCGGCTTCTTTAACCTTGCTCAAAAGTCTTTTGTAGCTTCTCCCGGTCCTTAATCATAACCGGACATCTTCTTATTTCTGCGGTCTTCCCAGGTTGAGCCCCTAAGAAATGTGTGAATTCCGGTATAGGAGCTTGTGTATTGGACTTTGTAGTGGTTGCAAATCCATATCTTTGCCCTCCTGCGTTTTTACGAGTTCCAGAACCAGTAAAAGTGACTTCTTCCAATAGAGGCCTGCTAGCATCCTTATCTTTGGTTTTCTTGCTTCCTGATGTACCTATATCTGATGCTCTTTGGTCTTCATTCTCAAGATCAACAAAAGCTTCAGGTGGTGGTTGTGTTTCAGTATCTTCTGTGCGGTTAAAAGATTTGCCAAATACCATTTTCACACCAAGCAAATCAATAAAGAAAGAGTATATTGGAAAGGGTTTGTGATGAAGAAGCGTAACAGAAGAACCGAGCAATAGAGAGAGTGGGTGAACTGGTGAGTATTGATGTGGGATAAGAAGCATCTTAAATAATTATTGGAATCGAGATTCACTAGAAGAATTGGATGTAGGAATCAAAGAAACATACCAGGAATCGATGAGATCGATAACTTTATCGTAGCGTCAAACGTTTTTTCACAAATAAGCAAGTTCCCGCTCAAACCAAAATCAGCGACCCCAAGTCCAAAATTGGTGATCCTAATCACGTTTCTGTGCAATCCGGATCGCCGATTTCATGGTTCCATGAACGAATTGAAGATTAAACGGGATCGCAAGGTACCCGTATCCGACAGCGAATCGGCCACCGACTGGACCGCAAACGCACCCCGTTTGGGAATGGGGATCGTGAGTCATATGGCGATCTATGTGACTATGTTCCAGCCGCTAAGGTTACTATTAACTTGCAATGCTGAGATACAAACAATTATACACTCTCATAAACCTGTGGGGTTACAGTCACCAAAACCATCACTAATAACTAATTCTAATATAATGATGTTACAGTCACCAAGACTGCCATTGATAACTGATTCTAATATAATGATGTTACGTTGGGTCCGAATAGCCTTATGGCATATGCTTTTTTAAATTTTTAAAAGCATAAGTCTTGCACATATTGAACACCAACATCCTACTATTCAATAGACATAATACTGTATTTATCACGAAATTAACGCAATAAAATAATTAACATATATGATATATCTAGAAAGAAGCGTGGTTACTAACTATAATTCTAGTATCCAACTCTGTGCTGTTTTCCAATTCTTCACTTGTCCAGACCTATTTGGACAATATATCAAGTTCATTAGAATTTGTCTAGTCTCACCGTATATCAACCATAGTGATCAATTACTTGATCACTAACTAGACTTGGTAACTATGTCACCAAACTAGTCAAATTTCCATATATAATTATCTAACGATTTAACCCTGTACACTGCTAACCCAATCCATAAAATAGGGTGTATAACCCTTACCTACAAGATTAACATTTAACTAATCACTTGTTAATATTTCATCAATTTTATATCCTGCAGGTATTCACTTCCTGGATGCACTTCTGTGCTGTCCGCTTATTTTCCGAGACCATTTTGAGATACGGCTTGCCCCCTTCCTTTTTGGTATTTCAACCGAACATCCCTTCTTCCAGTTTCCTTTTCTTTTCTTATATAAAACAATGATGATTCAAAAAAACTGCTTAAACGTTTACTCTTTTGTTTTTTAAAAATAAATTTCAGTCTGTTGTATTGTCACCATCTGTGAAAAACGAGAAGAAAGTACGTACACTCCTGGAAACCCTATGCGACAGTTCCAACAGGTAGGTAGCCCTGACATCTTTCCACTAAACAACTAAATAAAAATAAATGAGTGGTTAATTTCACACAATCATTCTGACTAATAAAAACTGTTGCATTATTAATACTTAGTCTGAGAAAACCTCAATAACATAGGAAAGAACAGGTTACTAGATTCTACTAGTGGTCCATTCCACCATTTAATTATCTCAAAAACGTGATTCAGAACCATGTCATTAAATTCTTTAATATATTTATATATAAATTTATTGGAACATTGTGAATTACAGCACGTTTTGGAAAACGGACGAAGAAGCAAGCATGGGTGGGTTGGGCGGTGAAGCTGACACTCATCCCTATGTCTCCTTCACTATTAATCTCATATGAAACTCGTGTTGAGGTGAGAGAGACAGAGAGAGAGGGGGTGTTGACTCTTGTTTTTTCTTGATTGGAAACCAATAATGTCATGTTTATTTAAAATGTGTATTATTATTATTATTATTATTCTTATTATTATTATTTATATAGGGTTGATTAACCCGATTTTAGTTCGAGACACGGGTGTATTGATTGTTTGACGTTTATTGTTTGATTTTAAAATTTGTTTTGTTTATTTATTGTACTACAATATCACTATGTATAAAAAGGATTACATACTTATAGCCGCAAAACAAGAGAGGATGAGAAGACGAATCGCAATGAGCAGATGAAGTTGATGGATCCTTTGATATGATAATGTAAACTACAATGATTAAAAGAAAGTAAATAATCATGAGCGAAGTCTTTGGCAAACAAATTGTACAAAAAGTAAATAAATTGTGTTTTAAAAGGATCGTTTACTCGTGTAAAATAAAGTGAGAAACTTAATATACTAGAAGGTACGGATTGAGGTCTCTCAACAAAATTTTGATCACAGAGCTTTTGTGTCCCTTGGATAAAAAGAGCGAACGTTTTGTACTAGATGGATTTAGTTAGGGGCTCTTTGGCAAGGTTTGACCCGGAGTTAAAGCAAGAATGCATAGATGGATTCGGATATGGATTGTTTGGTAACTTCTAAATAGAACCATTTAGAGCTCAAATGAATTTTATATGTCTTAGAACTTTCTTCGAGACTTTAAGCTAAGGGGAGTGGTAACACTCTTAGCACCTTGACACATCATTATTTTGAGTGCCACATCATTTTTCTTTCTTAACAACTAACTCTTAGCATTTGGTAGGGAGTGGTGGTGTGTTAAATTAATAATGTTTATTTTGACGAAAAAAAGATATAAAAATAACAATAGTTATGAACCAATTATAATAAACCATTACATCTTCTCTCTCTTGTTTCCTCTCGCTATTTGCTTAGTGCAAACTTCTTAACACCTTCTTTGGCAAATCCAAAGGAGTGGTGTTTGATATCTTAGCATCTTGTTTGGTGAGAGGGGTGGCAAGTCCACTCCCTCAAGCCTTATAACTGTCTTTGAACAGTTAAATAATCTTATATTAACCATTAAGAGGTTGGATCTATTCATTTTGACGTTCATTATTTTTTACCAAACAACCTATTATCATGCTATTCTTAGATATTGTTGTGATGAGATGGTTGACTCATATTGGTGTCAAGGGTGTTTAAGACTGATAAAACAACTCATCTCTTAGATATTGTTGTGATGAGATGGTTGACTCATATTGGTGTCAAGGGTGTTTAAGAAACAACTTATCATAATTTGGGTTATCATATTATTGTCTTAAAAAGATTTGTTGGAAGGTTTGAAATGTACTTTTGGTTGGAAGTATGATCTCTTTCATGGCAAGCAAAGAACCAACGAAATTATTCAAATATTAATAAAACACTATTCAGAATTGCTATGTTCTATTACTTTCACTAAAATTATTTGAAAATCAAATTAGAAATTATAGTAATATGTTGGTATGGTGTGGTTTATATATAACTTTAATACAAAAACATGACCATACGAAACAGTTTGTCTAACTACCAGTATGACAATGCCCCACTCATATTGGATTTTATAAGATTATAAAATATAAGTGTCCCTACAATATATATATATATATATATATATATATATATATATATATATATATATATATATATATATATATATATATATATATATATATATATATATATATATATATATATATATATATATATATATATATATATATGGAAAAATCCAATAGGGAACCATAATTATTGGTTCTCCAAGGAACCAAATATTTTTTTTTCAAGTTCTAGAACTTAATTCTTTATCGGAAAAAAAACTAAAAATATCTAAATTCATAACTTAAAGTTGTGAATGTTAAATATATTTTTCAGATTCATCGTGTTAATTTAGATTCACAATGTGAATTGTGAATTTTCAAAGATTCATATTGTGAATTTGATGAATTTTTTTTATCGAATTTGATATCATTGGAAAAATGATAAAAAGTTATGAATTTTTGTATTTTAGTTTTTTTTCTTGATAAAAAATAAGTTCTAAAAGTTGAAAAAAAGATTGGTTCCTTGGTTAATTATGGTTCTCTATTGAACCTCACAATATATAGAAGGAAAATGTCTAGAAGGAAAATGAAGTACTTGATACCTCCAAATGATGGTCCACTAAACCATAAAAACCCTAAAGAAAAAATAAGTTCTAAAAGTTAATTATGGTCCACTAAACCATAAAAACCCTAAATCTCAACCAAAAGATGTCTAGAAGGAAAATGAAGTACTTGATACCTCCAAATGATGCTAACTGAGGTAGATTTCTGATTCCCACGCCTTCCTTGCTCCTAGTCCCTTACCCTCCAAGCTCTTCCTTTCCAAAAACCTCCTTTCTAAAGCTTAAGACACACAAGAATGAAACACCACATGAATTAGGGTTTTCTGAGCTCTCAAAGGACCGCCAAGAGGCCAAAGGGGGCTTATGCTTCTTTAAATAGGGTGTAGAACCCCGGGATTTTAGGGTTTCATTTTCCAGTCCCTACTCATCGAGTTCATTCATGGACTCGGCGAGTAGGCCACTAAAAACACGATCCATCCCACTTCTACTCGACGAATAGGGCAACCAACTCGTCGAGTAGGTCTTAAAAAAAAATTCTCATTTACATTGATACGTGAGAATCAGGATGTTACAATTCTCCCCCACTTGAACTAGACTTCCCCCTCGAAGTCTGATGGGATAAACATTGCCGGGTAATGCTCGTGCATCTCCGTCTCTGGCGCCCATGTCCACTCGGACCCCCCCGATGTTCCCACTGTACTTTCACCAAAGGTATTTCTTTGCTCTGCAATTTTTTTCTTCTTCTCCAAGATGGCCACCGGCCTCTCCACATAATTCAGGTGCTCATCGACCTGAATATCATCCAACGATACTACTACCTCCTGGTCCATAATGCACTTTCATAATTGCGAAACATGGAACGTGCTGTGAATTCGGCTGAGCTCCTCCGATAGCTCTAGCCTATAAACCACTTTACCCACCCTGACAATGATCCTGAATGGCCCCTTATAATGGGGACCCAATTTTACCTTCTTCCTGAAACGGATCACACCCTTCCATGGAGAGACCTTCAGAAGTACCATATCATCAACCTGAAACTCTAAATCCGATCGACATCTATCAGCGTAACTCTTTTGCCGACTCTGAGCGGTCTGTAGTCGCTGTCTGATCTGCTGGATCTTTTTGGTATTCTGCAAGACTACCTCCGTCCGGCCCATCACTCTGTGTCCAACCTCACCCCAACAGACCAGGGTTCTACATCTCCGACCATACAATAGCTCAAAAGGCGGGGAACCAATACTGGAATGATAACTGTTGTTGCAGGCGAACTCTGCAAGCGGTAGGTGGTAATCCCAACTCCCACCAAAGTCAATGACCTACGCCCTTAATATATCTTTGAGGTTCTGAATGGTTCGCTCACTCTGTCCATCGGTCTGCGGATGGAACGTTGTACTAAAGTACAACCTCGTACCCAGTTCCTCATGGAGCCTATGCCAAAAGCAAGAAGTAAACCTGACATCCCGATAGGAAACGATGGAAACTAGAACCCCATGGTGAGAGACAATCTTGCTAACGTTCATATCGGCCAATTTCTCGACCGACGAACTCTCACGTATGGGCAAGAAATAGGCACTCTTGGTCAACCGATCCATGATGACCCATATAGCATCAAACCGCTTCGCCATCCTTGGAAACTTCGTAATGAAGTCCATCGTGATCTGTTCCCATTTCCACATGGGAATCTCCAGAGGCTGCAACTTACCATGCGCCCTCTGATGCTCAGCCTTGACCATTCTACAGGCCAGGCACCTCTCAACATACCAAGCGATTTCTTGCTTCATACCGGGCCACCAGTAACTCAAACTCAGATCACGGTACATCTTGGTGGCCCCCCGGGTGTATAGAAAAGTGAGACTTATGACCCTCCTCCATCACTGTATGACGGACCCTCCGGACATTGGAACCCAAACCTGACCGTGTCGGGTCAATAATCCGCGGCTATCCTGAACAAATCGGGCACTCTTGCTGGAGTAGGGACCCAACTGACTTGCGAATCAAAGCTTCCGCAACCACATTCGCTTTACGAGGATGATAAAGGATCTCACAATCATAGTCCTTGACTACATCCAACCACCTGTGCTGCCTTATGTTCAAGTTCGGCTGATCCATGATGTGTCTCAAACTCTTGTGATCCGTGTATATAATGCAACGAACCCCGTACAAATAATGCATCCAAATCTTCAGAGCGAAAACCACCGCTCCCAACTCAAGATCGTGTGTAGGGTATCTTGTCTCTTGCGGCTTCAGCTACCGCGATACATAGGCTATCACTCGTCCCCTCTACATGAGGACGACCCCCAATCCTGTGATGGATGCATCACAAAATACTACAAAAACCTCAACTTCCTCGCGGAGCATCAACACTGGCACCTCACATAAACACCGTCGGAGGGTCTCAAACGCCCTCTGTTGCTCAGGGCCCCACCGGAAATCCACCCCCTTCCTCATTAGACGAGTGAGGGCTACTACAATCTTGGAGAAATCTCGAATGAATCTACGATAGTACCCTAGTATTACCAAGAAACTCCTGATGTCTGAGGGAGATTTCGGAATCACCCACTGCATAACTGCCTCGACTTTGGCCGGGTCGACCAAAATCCCCTCCTGGTTAAGAAGATGTCTGAGGAAGTAGACCTCTCGTAACCAAAACTTACACTTCAAGAACTTTGCATACATCCGTTCTCATCGCAAAACCTCCAGCAGCTCCCTGAGGTGCTCCTCGTGCTGGTCTTGTGTCTTGGAATACACCAAGACACCATCTATGAACACAATGACCGAGCGATCGAGCATCAGTATGCAGACCCGATTCATCAAATCCATAAACACTGTTGGCGTGTTGGTGAGCCTAAACGGCATCACCACGAACTCGTAATGACCATAACGAGTCCGAAACATGGTCTTCTCCACGTCTTCCTCCCTTACCCAGACCTGGTGATACCCATATCTCAAATCGATCTTGGAAAACTGAGAAACACCCTGCAGCTGATCGAAAAGATCATCTATCCTTAGGAGTGGTTAACGGTTCTTTACCGTTAACTTATTCAACTCCCTATAGTCAATTCACAACCTATGCGAACCATCCTTCTTCCTTACAAAAAGGATCGGTGCTCCCTAGGGTGAACTACTTGGGCGAATAAACTGCTTACCCAGAAGTTCCTGCAACTGAGATGCCAACTCCTGCATCTCTGGTGGTGCTAGACGGTACGTCGCGTTAGCGATAGGGGCCGCAACTAGAACTAAATCAATCCTGAACTCTACCTACCTCTCCGGAGGCACTCCAGGTAACTCCTCTGGAAACACATCAACAAACTCCCTAACCACTGGAACCTATGAAATTGAAGTATGATCCTTAATCCGTGTATCTATCACATACGCTAGATAACCGACACACCCGTGCTAAATGAACTTTCGAGTCCTGACAGCTGAAGAAAACGCTGCTCCCACTCTGTTTCCCTCACCATACACTACCAATTCTCCCCCACTTGGGGTTCGAACTACCACTCGCTGTCCCTCACAGTCGATCATGGTGCCAAACTGGCTGAGCCAACCCATCCCTACGATCACACATACTTCCCCCATGGGAATATGAATCAAATCTATTGGGAAGGATACCCAGAAAATCTCCAGCTCGCATCCCCGGTAAACCGAAGAAACAAAAATCCCGTGCTCGTTGGCGATCGAAACTCGCAACAGACACTCAAGCTTATCTACCGACACACTGAACTCTCTACTGAAAGTCTCAGATACAAACGAACGACTCTCCCTTGAGTCAAATAAAACCAAATTAGGCAAAGGGTTTACTAAAAACGTACCTAAACACAGGTACCACCGATAAGCATAACACAAATACAATAACTAAAACAGAAAATAGAAACATACCAGCAACCACATTCGGTGCTGCCTTGGCCTCTTCGGCTGTGAGCTAGAAGGTGCGCCCCTAAGCCTTTGGAGGCTCCACCTTGACTGGCCTCCCATCCTCAATCCTCAAAGTAGCTACTACGGATCCCTACGCCGGCTTGGCGGCGAGCCGCGGGTAGTTGGTCTTTACGTGACCAACCTGATGACAATGGTAAAAATCCTCATATATATTGGAGGGGTGGACTGTCGACAGTCCCTGGCATAGTGCTCCTCCTTGCTACATTTTTGGCAACCACCTCATGCTCGATAAACCCCAGAATGACCCCAACCACACTTTCCACATGTGCGGCTCTACTGACCCCTGGTACGAGCATCAGCGGTCTTGGACCGCTTAGGTTTCGGATGAGACTGTTCCGAAACCTAATGCTGCTCCTTCAACTGAATCTCTATCTCCAACTCACGCCGCCTCACAACTTCCTGAAGATCCAAGAGGGTCTCAAAACGTTGCGTAGCAACAAACTGTCGAATATCAGTCTTGAGCATACTAAGATAACGAGTCATCTGAGACTGCTCTGAAGCAAACTCCGGGCGAAACATAGTCCTCTCCGTGAACATACGAGTGATCCCCATCACTGACTCCCCATCCTGTCTTAATGTCAGAAAATCCTCAGCAAGCCGATCCTGCTCAACGCATGGAACGTAGTGGGTGCGGAACATATCCCGTAACTGCTCCCAAGTAACAACAGATCGCTGATCATCAGTGTACGACCCTGTTGTCAATCTCCACCAGTCCTTTGCCCCAAGCCTCAGCAAGTTCAGGGCATACCTGACCTTCTGGTTAGCAGGACATGAACACGTGAAGAAACAACCCTCTACATCAGATAACCACCTCATAGCCCTGATTGCATCATGTGTACCATCAAATGTCGGGGGCTTCGTTTTATCGAAGTCCCGGTACTAGAAAGCCCTGCCAGCTCCTCCTCCAACCCCTACTGCGGTTACAGCTGATGTGGCTGCAACGGTAACTGTCTCTGCTAGAGCTGCATATCGCTCATCAAAGTACTCAACCATCGCGGTCTTAATCAACCCAAACATCTCTGGCAGCTGCGCTCAGAATGCTGCAGCAATCTCTTCGTGCATAATCTCCCAAATCCTGGCATCCAAATCCTCTGTGCCTATCTGTACCACGGGCTCAGGTGCTACCAGCACCTCCGACCTTCTGTCTCCCATTCCTGATCCTGATCCGAATCTAGTAGTAAAACGTCTCGTCACCACTGTACTGAAAAATATTATCAACATGTCAGATAAACAACATATATCAGAAGACCAATTCCCACAACCCTAGGGGTTATGACTTCCTTGGTACGCGTATGGGTCCTATGCTTTTAGTAGTATGGGCCCATACTACCTTCCACACCTACCCATATTTTTCTCAAGTATCACAACAACGCCCTAATACTATCATCAGCATAATATGCGTTCAACCCTCACTCCTAGGGGAATATCGACTATCTCGCAACTGGTCTCATAGCTTCGCACAATTCACACATCCATGAAACTTTCACCAACCCTACAACACTAGTGTATGCAAGCTACACATAACGTTGGACCTGATAGACTTTCGAATATCCAATCCTACACTAAGGTCGAATCAGACATTCTCAGGCTATAGGATCTTCATTATACACAGCCGTGATGTATACACTAAACTCTTAAAGTTATGATGTCAATTCCATACACACGAAACCCTAGGCTAATAGGTATCATATAATTAGGAAAGTCTATCATGCGATTCCTGAAGATTCCTAGCCTAGCACTAGCCTGCTGTTCAACCACATCATAATATCAAATAAATGTATGGTATTTTGGATTTCACTTACAGGCTCTGGCTGATCGTACCCTTTGCATCCTCCATCCTTTATTTTGAAAACCATTTTAGAAGTTATTCCGGAAATTCCCTTGATTTGAGACTGGGTTCGCACGAGTTTTCCTCCAATTCAGTCAAACCAAGGCTCTGATACCAACTTGCAATATCCAAAAATTTTACACCAAATTTAAACTTTTACAGTCGTGAATAAAACCAAATAGTATTTGTTTACAAAATGTTTTCAAATCATTATTCATCAGAGTGTCCCAATAACTAGATCATAAGGATGAGGAGCGGTATGTTCACACCTTCGACTTGCCATGATCACCTGAAGTACCTGAAACAATAAAATGATAACTGTAAGTCCGAGGGGTTAGTGAGCTACCCCCAAAACACCATACCACACCGATTATACCATATCAATAACAAATAATCATCATCATGCATGCTGGGCCATCAGCCTGACTGGACCGCTCTGCAGGGCCAACAATCTATCTGAATTTGTCCCAAGCCTTCAGCACGACTGGACCGCCATGTGGGCCTATAGTCTCCTCGGACCGCTCATAGGGTGTGTTGGTCTTCAGCACAAAGCAGGACCACCACAACCCAATCAACAAGCAAATAACCATGTGCGCATAGCTAACATATACTGGTATATACAACATCAAACATATCTATCTCACTGACCATCAATCATAACAATCTCTCATAACTAGAGCACCGACATAGCAGGTCACTAACATACCAATCGTTATGGATCATAAAAGCATAACATATTATCTCTCCAGATTCAGACCTAACAGGTCATAACCACATGCAACATACATAACAACAGCAACCAAAGGGCCGACCTTGGTGCCTTAGACACTATTGATATAGTGAGGATAACTCACCTTGCAGATGTCGACTCGATAGATGAACCCCAACCCTTGTATCCCTGTAAAAAAACTCCACCACCTATTACCATAATATAATCATACCCATAAGTTCCCAACCTTTCAAGGTACCACATAATCCAACTAATCAAATCCCGGTCCGAGTCAGAGTCATTAGTCAAGGTCAACAATCCATGTTGACCTTAACTCGCCGAGTACCCTCGGCTACTCGCCGAGTTCCTTGAAGTACTTGTCCACTCTCTGAGTCACCAGAGTGACTCGTCGAGGTCCTTTAGTTTACGATCGAAACCCTAAGGCCACTCGTCGGGTTTCCTTCTTGCAACTAGACGGTTACACATGCATACATAAATTGGGGAAACCTCAACCGACTCGTCGAGTTGTTCATACAACTCGTCGAGTCCATGAAAATCTTCATCGGACTCACCGAGTTGCTCATCCAACTCGTCGGGTCCATGCTCATGATCATCTAACTCGCCGAGTCAACCTTGCGACTTGTCGGGTTCCTTTAGTCCCATTACTAGAAAAACAGCCTTTTACGATGCGCGAACCATGACACGCGCTATTTTATGATATGCAATAGTGTGTGCCGTAAAAATAATGTCGACTCTCCAAAATTTAGAAGGATTTAGGGCACGCACTTTTGCGCGTCCTAAAATAAGTGTCACATTGGAAAAAAAAACACAGAGGGCACATAACATAAAATGTGCGTCCTCTAAGTATGTCGCTTTCTATTTTTTAAATGAAACGCGGGGTCACTTCTTTTTTCAGGAAACGGAATTCCAAAAAGTTTGAAAGGCCCGCCATGTTATTACCTTCTTTCCACCGTTCTTCTCTCTCTAACTCAAATACCCCAAACAACCCTAATATACTCTCCTCTTTTCTCCCACAGCAAACCCGCACCATCACATACCTGTGGAGGAGATCTCTACCGGAAAAGTGATATCCGGCTGGTTCCCTCTAAAGAATTCAGGTAAGATCTTTACTTTTCTAATTATATAATTCTTTCATTCTTAAAAAAGATTGATGTTGAACATTAACATCTATTTGTTCGTTTTTAATAATGTGAGATGATGATTATAATTTGGAAAATGAAGAACATACGAGGTTGAAGATGATGATGTTTTTTACTAAATTGGATGTTAATTTGAACAGATGACTAAAGATGTCGATTTGTTGTTTATTGGAGAAGCTAATATCGAAGTTTTCTATAAATTGAAAATAAATCAGAAAGTTGAAGTTGTGAAAGTCAAATGTCACAAAGTCAAAATTGGAGTTCGAATATTTCACGGTGAACTTGCTTATTTACATCTCATATTTGACTTCATTTTAATTTAATTGGACGTTCAAGGGTTGTTGAATATTTCTGTCAGAATTCATGGTTAAAAATCAATTTCAATTTTTAAAATCGATAGAGTTTTTCAATATCAAATGATGGGGCTGAAGGATGTTTAGGTCTTCGATAGTGAGATTTTAATTTTGCTTCTATGTTGTTGTTTATCATTCTTTCCGATGGTTTCTCATGTGTTCTCACAATGATTTTTATTTATGGTTGTTTATGTTTCAGAATTCAAGAACCCCTGGAACTCTTGTTCTCGCAGTTATAAATGGAAGTGCTGCTCAAAGTTTTTGTCATCGGTTGGTGCTAATGTGCCAAGAATCTGGCATGGTATGTATATCATCAACTCAGATATTGTCTTTCATAAATTAAATATTTCAATTATATAAAAAATGTTGGAAATATCAGGAAATTAAAAGTGAAAGTGTGGTTCCAGTCTACTCTGCAAGACCAAATTAGGTCAACATGACCAGTCAAGTTTTCTTGTCACATTCAGTCAACATAATGGCAGTTCAGATGGATCATTCACTACTAGAGCCAATTTGCTTTCCAAATGGGTAGGCGAAGCCGAAAGACATGTGAAGTTGCTCTTTGAAGAAGCTCAAAGAAACCAACCTTCGATTATATTCTTCGATGAAATTGAAAGACTTGCAAACAAGAACATATTCACAACTCCATTGTCTCAACTCTTCTTGCATTAATGGATGGTTTGGATTCAAGGGGACAAGTGATTTTAATCAGGGCAATAAACCGGATCGATACGATTGATGGAGAATTGAGAAGACTCGGTAGATTTGATCGTGAGTTTACTTTCCAATTACATGGTTTGGATGCACGTGTTGAAATTCTAGATATTCATACAAGAAAATGGAAGCAACCACCTATAAAAGAGTTGAAATTGGAGCTTGCTACAAGTTGCGTGGGGTATTGTGGGGCTGATATGAAAGCTCTTTGTACGGAAGCTGCTATACATGCTTTTTGTGAAAAATACCCTTAGGTTTACACCGGTGATGATAAGTTTTTGATAGATGTTGAATCGGTTGAGGTTGAAAATAAGCATTTTATGGAACCATGTCAGCAATTACACCTGCTGCACATAGAGGTTCGGTAATGCATTCAAGACCTTTGTCGCCAGTTGTATCGCCATGTCTGCAAAGACGTTTACAGAATTCCATGAGGGTTATATCTGATATCTTTCCTATTCTTGAAATTTCATCTGAATCGAGTAAATTTTATGTTGTTGTTTTCGGTTTTTCCTTCCTGTTGTGTACAAACCCAGGCTTCTGTTGTGTGGGATTGAGGGTGCTGGGTTGGTAATTTTTTTCTTCGGTTTTGATATTTATATTTTTTGTTATTATTTAAATGGTGGAAGGATCCTTTTTTTTGTTTTGTTTGATAGGATCATTTAGGACCTTCTATTCTATATCAACTGGAAATTTTTTCCTGTTCATGCCCTTGGACTTTCTTCTCTTTTATCTGATGCAAGTGCTAAGACACTAAAGGAAGCTTTGGTTCTTGTTTTTAGTGAAGCAAGGAGAACTACACATTCCATAATCTATTTACCTCAATTTCATTTTTTGTGGGAAAATGTTGGTACCCTTTTACAATTTCTTTAATTGTTATTGTTTATATTCTAATACAATGTGTTTGGTTCAAGAATTTAAATCTTTTTGTCATCTTATCTTGAATCCGAATTTTGATTTCAGGCACATGATCAACTCAGAGAGCTATGCTATTGACTTTATTGGCAGAATTGCCATCAGATTCCCCCATATTACTTATTGTAACATCATTTGTTTAGCTTGATGATGCCAAAGAGTACAAACCTGTGGTTTTACCTTCAACTTCTGATGTAAATTTGTAATATATACAAAATATCTACATGGGGTAAATCTGTAGTATCCTTGTTTTTCTAGTAGTGAGCAATCACAACTTTCGAATCCCCCATCCCATGCTCTTGTAAGTTGTGTTACTTGAACAACATAATGTTTTTTTAATAATAGCAATGTAGACTATAATTAGGCATTGTTGTGTCAGGGTGCTAGTGTTGGAACAATGTCTGGTATCCCTCTTATGGTTGTTAACCCAAATAGGCTAAGAGGTTAGTGCCTGCTTTATGTGCTTCAGCTTCATGAGAATTGCATGCTAGTATTGAGTAGATAGTAGTACGATAGCCTGTTAGGGTTATGCCTGATAGTATGAGCTTAGCATTGTATGCTAGTACAGTTTCTCGTTATGAGGATAAATATGCTTGAGTAGTTTCCTATGTCTAAATGTTACTTGGTTTGTGATTTGTGGGAACCTGAGTGATGGGAGTTAGCCATTAGGTGAATATGTCACGTCACACGTGATCAGGGTCGAATAATCTCAGAGTGTTGGATTTGGCCCTGTTGCGCAACTCTTGTCTGAGTCTAACCGTTGTAGGGACGAGTCTTTTACTCGAAGGATTATCTAAGCCTCGTCACATGTGATGGTATTCAGGTGATGACTAATTGGCATTAGAAGGAGGTGTTCAACAACTGAGGATTGGTTTGGGCAGAGTCAGAGATTTCCCTAGGGAAAGCCTAGGATGAGAGTAGCAGGGATCAGTCGCAGTAGTGGTGACTTGGTGGAGTCAAGGCAGTTCTTGAGGAAAGTACGGATATATGTGCAAGGTAGTATGGGCCCGTACTACTGAAAGCAAAGGATCCGTACTTGAATCAAGGAAGTCTGAGATGAGACCAAGAAATTTGTAGTAGTAGTGATCCCTTGAGATATATCAATGTTTCTAACGTTTATCATGGTGTGTTTTCAGCATGGTGGTTTTACGTCCTAGGCCAGCAGTCGGCAGTTCAGGAGCCGGCGAGGGATCAAGATCAAGCTCGAGGGCCGAGCATCTAGATGAGCAGACCAGAGAGTTCCTCACCTCAGAGGTCACTCGCACCATACTTGAGCAGACTCTTGTGATATTCGGTTCGATCAAGGAGGGTATTTTAGAGCTAATGGATGAGAGGTTGAGCACATTTTATGCTGAGGTGGCGTCCATGATGGGGTCGCACACACTCACCTTCAGGGAGTTCTGGGCTTGTGGAGCTCTAGACTATCATGGGGCGCGGGACCCCATAGCGAGTACTAGGTGGTTGGCAAATGTCGCCAACGCATTTCGCACCAGCAGGTGTCCCGATGGGGACAAGGTCAGACTAGCATCCTGTCTTCTGAAGGATAGGGCACGCAATTGGTGGGAGGAGATCGGGCATGTCATCGGGGATGATGCAGCACTTGAAGCGATGACTTGGGCTGATTTTACTACCAGGTATAGAGCCGAGTTTGCACCGGTTATCGAGGTATAACAGTTAGCCAGAGAGTTTCAGGATCTCACCCAGACTATAGAGACAGTGGCGGAGATTACCACCAAGTTCAGGGAGAGGGCTCTTCTCGTTCCTTAGTACGTAGCTAATGAGGAAATGAAGAAGGCCCGTTACCATAAGATGTTGCAGAGTGATATCCGCCAGTTTGTGAGCCGGTCTAGCTGTAAAACGTTGGATGATATGATTGCGAGGGATCGTGAGAGAGAGATATATTTGGAAATAGAGAAGAAAAGGAAGCCAGAGGCAGTATCTGGCACAGGGAGTTCGGGCAAAAAGCCCAAGGTATTGGATCATAGACCTAGGGTACCGTAGAGCCATAGTCGGTGTGGCAAGTGTGGGAGATTGTACGATGGGGCGTGCAAGGCAAGGAGTCCTGGTTGCTTCAAGTGCGGCCAAACCGGGCATATGAGCAGAGATTGTATATCCACCACCACCACCACAACATCTAATCTGATTTGCTTCCATTGCAATTAGAGGGGACATAAAAAGTCCTAGTGTCCGAGTTTTGCAGCAGCGGGGAAGGTTGTGGCACCTGCCCCTACTACGTTGAGGATTACAGGTGCCCGTTAGGGCTGGGGTGAGGCGCCAGTGACGAAGAGTAGATCTTTCCAGATGTCAACAGAGGAGGCGCGAGCGACTCCTGATGTGGTGACGGGTATGTAATTTTTCCTCTTATCTCTTTATTGATATTGATTGTTTCTCATGGTTATATGTTTTCGTATAGATTCGTTCCTAGTGAACATAATTTCAGCTACAATATTGTTTGACTCGGGGGATACCCGATCATTTAGTTCACTTGCGTTTAGCAGAGCTTTGGGGGATCTGGATTGTCCACTTGAGGTTAAGATAGCGAATGACAGGACCGTCAGGGTCGCGAGAGTACATAGGGGATGTTCGCTGCAGTTATTTGATGAGCAGTTGTCATTGGACTTGGTTCCTATTCCCCTGCCAGGGGTTTTAGTGGGTATGGATTGACTGAACCCCAATGGAGCAGTGATTGATTATGAGCTACAGTTAATGAGGGTTCGCACTCCCGGAGGGCGAGAGTTAGTGATTCAGGGCGAGAGGCCACAACGCGGACCAGTCTTTTGTTCTGCAGCGAGGGCAAGACGTTACGTTCAGTAGGGTTACACAGGGTACATCGCCTATGTAATAGATGCCCGGGAGAAGGGTAAGGCGACAGTTGATGACGTACCAGTAGTGTGAGAGTATCCGAACGTATTCCCTAGGGACTTACCTGACATACTTTTAGAAAAACAGGTTAAGTTTCAGATTGACCTGGTTCCTGGTGCGGCTCCGATAGCCAAGGCACCGTATCGGTTGGCTCCTCCAGAGATGCAGGAGTTGTCCACACAGCTACAGGAGCTGCTAGACAGGGGTTTCATCAGGCCGAGTAGTTCACCATGGGGAGCCCCGATCCTATTCTTAAGAAAGAAGGATGGGTCGCATCGTATGTGCATAGATTACCATGAGAACAAGGTAACGATGAAGAACCGTTACCTACTCTCGAGGATAGATGATTTGTTTGACCAGCTTCAGGGAGCATCTTTGTTCTCCAAGATTGATCTACGGTTAGGATATCACCAGATGCGGGTCAGGGATGAGGATGTGTAGAAGACCGCTTTTAGGACCCGCTATGGTCATTATAAGTTTGTGGTGACACCGTTCCAGCTCAAAAACGCTCCAGCCGTGTTCATGGATCTCATGAACCGCGTATGCAGACTGATGTTAGATCGGTATGGGATAGTATTCATTAATGACATCTTAGTTTATTCCAAGACTCAGGAGCAGCACGAAGAGCACCTAAGAGAGGTGCTAGAGATGTTGAGGATGGAGAAACGTTTTGCAAAGTTCTCCAAGTGCGAGTTCTGGTTGTGTGAGGTGTAGTTCCTTGGGCACCTCATCAACCAGAAGGGTATACTAGTAGATTCGGCCATGATAGAGGTTGTGATGTAGTGGGAGGTCCCGAGGTCTCCATCTGAGATTCACAGCTTCCTAGGTTTGGCAGGGTACTACAGGAGATTCATCCAGGATTTCTCCAAGATAGTAGTTCCGCTCACCCGACTGACTAAGAAGACGGTGGCGTTTCGTTGGGGGCCTGAGCAGCAGGCAATATTTGAGACCCTCAGACAAAGATTGTGCGAGGCGCCGATTCTTACCCTGCCAGAGGGTGTAGAGCATTTTTTAGTCTACTGTGATGCTTCGATCACAGGTATGGGAGTGGTGTTGATGTAGCGGGGACATGTGATAGCTTACTCCTCTAGATATTTGAAGCCTCACAAGGCTAACTATCCGACGCACGATTTAGAGCTGGGGGCAGTGGTGCTCGCCCTTAAGATTTGGAGACATTACCTCTATGGGGTTTGTTGTACCATTTACACGGATCACAAAAGTTTTGAGGTACCTCATGGATCAGTCGAATTTGAACATGAGGCAGCGCTGATGGTTAGACATGGTAAAGGATTATGATTGTGAGATCCTTTATCGTCCGGGTAAGGCCAACATAGTGGTCGATGCCCTGAGCCGCAAGGAGGTAGCAGCCCCGATCAGGGATATTTGTCTGAGGATGACAGTGATTACTCCCTTGTAGGAGCATATTAGAGAGGCACAGGCTGAGGGCCTGAAGTAGGAGAGGCAGAAGTGTGAGAGG